GAGCAGGGAGCCTGATGCGGGACTCGATCCCGGGACTCCAGGATCATGACCTGAGCCAAAGGCAGTCGCTTAACCAACTGAGCCACCCAGGCACCCTCCAGATTTTTCTTAGCTAGTTCTGAATGTGAACTTTAGAATCAGCTTATCTAGTTAAAAAAATCCTTGTCCATACATGTACTGAGATGATATGTAAATTAGAGATTAAATTAGGGAGAACCAACTTCTTTATAATGTTCAATCTTCCTATGAAAAAACTAGTATGCCTTTTCTTTTTATTCAAGATTATTCTCTGTCTTGTTTAAAATATTATAAAAAAATTTTTTTTATTATGTAAACTCTATCCCCAATGTGGGGCTCGAACTCACAACCCCAAGATCAAGCATCACATGCTTCACCAACTGAGCGAGCCGGGCGCCCCTGAAAGTTTCTTTATATACTTTCACATTTAGTAAGTTTATTCCTAAATACTAAGTATTTTACCTTTTTCATCTCTTAATAATTGAGATATTTTCTTCCTACAAATTATCTTCCTGGTAGTTTCTATATAGAAAGTCTAAAAATTTTTAAATTAACTTTTATATTAATTTTTAATTTAAAGTTTTCATATTAATGTTTATATCCAGCCATATTACTGAAGTCTTTTGTTTCTAACAGTTTTCTAAGAATTTCAGTTTCTAATTTGTTTTCTAGGAATTTCTAGATATATACCATATAACCCACAAATAGTGGAAGTTTTATTCCCTCCTTTGCAAATGTTTATACCTTATTTATATTTATTGTCTAACTCAATGGACTAGGATTTCCAGAAGAGCGTTAGGTAATGGTGGTGATACCAAATATTCTTCTCATTTCTAACTTTACTAGGAACACTTCTAGTGCTACTCCATGAAAACATGATGCTGACTTAGAATAAGGTGTATTTTATCTGAAACTAATGATGTACTATATGTTGGCTAAATGAATTTAAATAAAAAAATTTAAAAAAAGAATAGGGTGTCTTTTCTCATGTAACAGATAGTTACTCACATTTTAGGATTTTTAAATCAAGAATGGATGCTGAATTCTGTCAAGTGCCTTCTTCGTCTTCTTATTTTTCTTCTTTGATCATTAATATGGCAAATTACAGCAATAATTCCTGATACTGAACCACCCTTTTATTTCTTGAATGAAGTCTACACTAGATAATGGTGTATTCTTTTGCTGTGTTGTTTTACTGCTTGTTTCTAGGGAACCTTATTTTATTTGGTTATTTATAGGTAAGAATGATTTAGAGTTTTTTATGGTATCTGTACATACCTTTTTTTAAAATTTTTGCATCAATATTATTAAATACTGTGTTCATTTCACAAAAAGATGTTTCTTCCTCTTCTACACTATGAAGCAGTTTAAATATTGAACATTTGTTTAAATGTTAAATGTTGAAGTTACTTGTGCCTTTAAAGTTTACTGGGATGATTCATTTGTGAAACCACATGTGCCTGGTGAATCTGGGGAAGAGAATGCTGGGTAGTTTTTTTCCTATGGCAGCTGGCCTCCTTACATTTTTCTATCTTGGGAGCATGTTATTTCTTGAAGATTATCAATTTTATCCACATACATGGATATTTACAGAGAAATAATTAAATTATTGTCTTACTATTTTTTAAGAACTGCTATGTGTGTAGTTATGTCCCCATTCTCTTATTTTGTATATTTATGCTTTTTCTCTTTAAAAATTATGGAATAAAAGAATTGTATCTCTTTATAATGTATAATGAATATTTACTAGCTATTTCTTGATGAAATGAAATAAAGACTCACTCAGGCACAATTCCCTTAAATTAAGAAATAATAGTTACAGGGGAGCCTGAATGGCTCAGTTGGTTAACCATCCAACTCTTCTTGGTTTTGGCTCAGGTCATGATCTCGTATCATGAGATCAAGCACCGCATTGGGCTCTGCACTCAGCAGGGAGTCTGCTTGAAGATTCTCTCCCTCTGCCCCTCCCTCCCCACTCTCTCTCTAAAATGGATAAATAAATCTCTAAAAAAATGAAATAACAGTTACATTTATGTATGTGTAAGTTGCTTACTAACATCTTCTAATAAAAATACCTTTTCTGATCAATTTCTTGTTGCTGTTTAACATGTTTCTTCTCAAATTCACGAATATTTTCCACACCAATTTCTTCACAGAAGTGTTGGAAAATCTCATCTTCTACCTTTTAAATTATTTCAAAACAACTGGTTTAATAATTAATTTTAAGAAAGTATACAGACAATACTTAAACCTCAATTTTTCCCACCAAGAATTTCCTATATTAGGCCAAAAACTAATCGAAAAGCATTATCATACTCTGAGGAACCAGTGTTTTTTTTTTTTTTCTTTAACTCCTCAAACTATATCCTCTGTTTTCAAATTTCTTACTCTAAAAAATAAATAAGAAAGCTCATAATTGGCCTTATTAACACTTTTGGTTTATGAAGTGTTAGAAACAAAGTTAGAACTATTTCCTTTACATTAGCCACACCATAATACAACATTCTACATAAATAAATAAAATATTCTTTAGATTTGAGTGATACTATATAGACTCTCAGGCAGTAGAAGCCAAAAGGACTGGGCATAGAATTAAGACTCAGACAGATTTGGAAGAACCAGAATGAGCCAAATCCAACAAAACAACATTTAACCTCAATAGTTTTAAGGCCCTGCATTTATATACAATTTTAGGAAAAGAGAGACCTATTTTAAACAGCAGGACATGTTAAAAACTTCCAGATTTTAGTTGAATATAAATTAAATATGAATGGGATATGACTGATGCAGTGATAAGTTACAATTTACATAACTAGATAATAAAAACTATGGCAAGTTATAGTTCTATGTGTTGAGTCCCACGGTACTCTGTACAGGTCAGACAGTATTTTGACATTAAACTTTGTTCTGGGCATTGACAAACAACAGAGCACCCAGAGGATGGTTGTCAGAGCTGATCTTAAATCCATGATTAAAGCATCAGGGGTACTTAACCTGGAAAAGAGTTAATTAAGGAGCAACGGAGGTGTGGTTTCAAATCCTGTGATACAAGGCAGAACTAAAGCAATGGGTGGAAGTTATTAAGTGATGGTGGGACAGACAACTTTCTAAGGATTAGAGAGGATCAACAGCAGAATGAATTAAGCCAGAAAGTTCCTGTCATTTTATAAGCAGAGGCTAGATGACCAAATCTTTGTTGCCTCAGAGCCAAGCACTGTGCCTGGTATATATAATAAATGTTCAAGAAATAATTACTGAGGGAATGAGTAACTTTTTAAAAAGATAATCTGAAAGAAAGGTTCTTTCTGGTGTTAAGGTCAGTGGGAGAAGAAAGAAGCTGTAATTTTTACAATGGGCAAGGAGATGCTGGAGAGCAGAAGAGAGTAACTATGCACTGGTCATTATCTCCTGAGAGGGCCAACAGTAGTTCTCCAAAGACACAAACAAACTCATTTGGCAAACCAATAAAACTAAGCACTTATCAAACTGCTTTAGCATATATTCCAGAAGCCCTATATCGGGTATCTGGTCTAGAACTATATTTTACATGTCAATCAGTAACAAATACATCATTTATGACCTTATCTATCTTTTCTTGAAATTCTTCAATTCTTTGTTGCCGTTCTTTGATTCCTTCACTCAACACAGTACACTGAGACTCAATATTTAGTAGTTCACTTTGTAGCTGAGATTGTTCCTAATTACAAAAGAGAAAGATTTCTTTTTAACATAGCTATTTTACCTTTATACAGTGAAGCAAACATATGTGAAGGTATCTTTTAGAATAAAAAGGGAATCCCACGGGCACCTGGGTGGTTCAGATGGTTAAGCGTCTGCCTTCGGCTCAGGTCATGATCTCAGGGTCCTGGGACTGAGCCCCACATGGGGCTCCCTGCTCAGCGGGGAGTCTGCTTCTCCCTCTCCCTCTGCTGCTCCCTTCTGTCTCCCCTCCACTTGTGCTCTCTCTCTCTCAAATGAATAAATAAAATATTTTTTTTAAAAAAGGGGGCATCCCTGAGATAAGGTAAATGGAAGCACGGCTGTATGTCAAGATTAACAACCATAAAAATAAACTAAAATATAATCTCAATCATGGGGTAAAGTGTAAAAATTACATGATGCTACATAAATGTAATTCCTGAAATTCTCTGTCCTGGTTCTCGTCTCCACCAAGTTTTCTGTAAGCCCATATTACCCGGTAAAAAGCAGCAAGGTGCTTCTTTTTAATCATCTCTAGTTCACTTTGCGAATATTTGAGTCGTGTATGAGTTCCTTGTATTAGAGTCTGTATTTGTTTCAAATCTGCTTCCTTGCGAAGTATCTTCATTAAATCCTAAAAAGGGAGAGAAATAGAACATTTTACAACAGAAAGGCACTTTCACGTGTCATAAGTCACCCACACCCCGTCTTCCCCCTTCTGATAAGAGACTGGCAATTAAGTGCACAAGCCATCTGGAGGGACCACAATGCCCTATAACACCCTCAAAGACTAACACACTTCCTAGGAAGAAACAGGAGTGAAAAATGAGGAATGCGAAGTGTGTGTTCCACCCAAGGCACACAAGTGACTTAAATGGGATCAGCCTTGCTTTTAGTACATTCTCTTCCCTCCTTCACCCACCCCATTACTCAACCAAATTAACTCCCTAGTGTAGGTATGTTGTTCTGTATTTTTACTCCTAGTCTTTACATGAATACATGTGTACCCAGTTACTTATACTGTTTTCCATAGCTGCTATTTTATGTCCTGATGTGTTTTTTCAATGGTGGGTCACTCAACTAACAGAAGCTTTAAAACAAATGTGGGTTTATGATTCTCACACAAAAGCTGTCTAGGGTAATGCAGTTCCTCAACAATGGCATATAACTTTTAGCTTCTTAGAACAGTGGCCTCATCCTCATGCTTGCTGTCTCTTTACAAGATGGCTGCTGCATCTCCAGGCCTCCTGACTGCATTCCAGTAAGGAAGAGGAAAATGCAGGAGATGAAACCAACACTTTCATTTATAGCTCTAAAACTGTCACATGGCCACTGGTAGCTACAATGAAACTTGGGAAATCTAGTTGTTTTGTTTTTTTATGATTCTTTAATAGAGCCCAGAAAGAAAGGAAGACGTTGTGGATAGGGACTGGGCCAGCAGACTACACCACTGCCTGCCATTGCCTAACTTTTCAAATATCCCACTTCTTTTTGGTCAATCTTTATTTATATATTTATTTTTATATATTTATTTTTAATTATATATTTTTGAAGATCTTCCATTTCTTTCAGGTTTTCAATTTTTTTATTATATAGTTATTTGCTCATAAAATTCTCTTTAAATTATTTTAATCTTTTCGTTCCCAGTCTATTTTTGCTTCTAATTTTTCCTCCCTTTATTAGAGTTGCAAAGAATTTATTATTATTAGTCTTTCAAAAGAACAGCTTTTAGATTCACTGGTCCCTTTTCTCTTTTGTTCTCTAAATTCAGCTTTAAAAATTCCATTAGGGCGCCTGGGTGGCTCAGTTGGTTAAGCGACTGGGTCCTGGGATTAAGTCCCACATCAGGCTTCACCTGCTCGGCGGGGAGCCTGCTTCTCCCTCTGCCTGCTGTTCCCCCTGCTTGTGTGCTCTCTGTCAAATAAATAAAATCTTTAAAAAAAATTCCATTACGAGTTCTTGTTTATTTTGTGGTTGTTGTTCTAGTTTCTTAAAGTAATAAATGTCCCTATATCTCATCTTTCTTCTTTAAAAATGGAGGTATTTCCTCTTGATGTAGCTTATATGTGTCTCAAAGACTTCCCATTTACCACTTTCGAGACATTTTGTAATTTGCCTTTTGATTACTTCTTTGATCCCCAAACTACCTAAAAGTGCATTTCTTAATTTCTATGCAAACAAAAATTTTTTAGTCACTACTTCTAACTTTATTAAATTATAATCAAGATGACCTTTTAAAAAGCTACTGAGATTTGCATTATGGACAAGCATGTAATTAGTTTTTTAAAGTGTTTCATGGATATTCTAAATAATATCTCACATTTACTGAGCACTTACCAGTGTTCTATCAAGTTTACATTTTTTAACCTACTTAACCCTTTCAACAGTGCTGTGAAAGATGTGCTATTGTTATCCCCACTCTCAGTTCAGGGTCCAGGAAGGAGGCTGACTACAAAGAAACCAGGGTATGATGGAAATATTCTGTGATTGTGGGGGCAATTACATGACTACATACATTTGTCCAAACTTACTGAATCACCCGCTTAAAATGGGTGGCGGTTATTGTATATAAATTATACCTCAATTAACCCAACAAAAGTCAAACAATGTATTTACAACATATATGACTAAGAACTAATTTACTCATTATACAAATAATTCTTAGAGTAGGTAATAAAATAATAAGCAACCTAATAGAAAAATGTGCATAGGAGATAAATAAGGAGTTTGAAGAAAAAATTACAAAGAACCAATAAAACAAGCAGAAATGCTCAATCTCAGGTATAATTTAAGAAATGCATACTCAAACAATTGGGTCATATATATATATTTTTACCAATCAGACTGGCAAAGATGGAAATATCTGCTAATATTTCGTGTTGCAATCCAGGGACATACACTACTACAAGTGTTCTTTTGATGGGAACTTGGCAACATCTAATAGTATAAATACACATATGCTTACACCCAGAATTCTACATATAGGAATTCATCTTAGAGATATATTTATACAAATAAAGTTATTTTAAATAATAACAACAAACATTTATATAGTACTCACACATGCCAGGCACTGTTTTAAGTATTTTAACTGGATTATGTGATTTAATCCTTAAACTTAAAAGGACGATACTTTTATTATACCCATTTTGCAGGTGGGAAACTTAGGGTACAGAGAGGTTAAGTAACTTGTCCAAGGTCCTACTAAGTGCCTAGTAAGTGGCAGAACCAGGACTGAAACTCAGGCAGCGTGGCTACAGAATTTATACTCCTAGGTACTGGTTATTCTCCTTCTCTGAAGAATGTTTAATGATGCCTCGCTTGTAATAGCAAAACCCAAAATGTCCATTATTGGAGAATGGTTAAGTAAACACAACCTATACAATGAAATACCAGGCAGGATTCAGTAAAAATAAGTGGTTCTCTGTATGCTAAGATAAAAACATGTCCTTGTTATAATGGTAAATGTAAAAGCTTGTTGCAAACAGTATTTGTAGCAAAAGCCCATCATAAAATAAACAGGAAAAATAATACATATACTTGCATATACAGAGGAAATTTCCAGAAGCTATATATCAAACTGTGTTTAGCAAATATCACTGAGATATGAGGATAGGTAAGAGAAATATTGTCTTTAACTTTATTCTATTTTGCTTTACTTGAGTTTTTTTAAACTATAGGCATGGTACTTTTATGACCACAAAAATTAATTTTAAAACACAATTATTCTACAGCTTAGTATTCCACAACTTTTACAGCATGGGCTTACCTTTAATTCCTGGATAAGCTGGGCTCTTCTGTCTCTTAAGTTCTTTATCTCCTTCTCATCCCAGCATCTAGCTTTGTATTTTAAGTCACTTGACCCTCCAGAGATCACCCCAGATTTTAAAAATAATGTTCCATCAAGAGCTACTGTCTGTAAAATTAAAAATATTTTATCCTAGAGAAATACATAAGGAAGATAAAAATAGAATATAATATGGCAATTTTTACAGCTGAGAATTTATAGATGAGAAAACCACTTACTGAAATTTACTAATAAAATACCTAGTTTATGAAGGGACACTAGCCAATAAACAAACCACAAATAAAACATCCTGTTTTGCTAAAGCCCAAAGCAATTCTAGACAACAAATTAGCAGCAGTTAAAAAGATCCAAAATAAATTGTATATTGGGGTGCCTGGGTGGCTGAGTCGGTTAAGCGTCTGCCTTCAGCTCAGGTCGTGATCCCAGGGTCCTGGGATCGAGTTCTGCTTTAGGCTCCCTGCTCTGTGGGGAGCCTGCTTCTCCCTCTGCCTCTCTCTCTGTCTCTCATGAGTGAATAAAGTCTTAAAAAAAAGAATCTTAAAAAAATAAATTATATATTAGCTCCAAACATATTCAATATTGAGAAGCAAACACCAAGGATATTTGTATTTAATATCAAGTAGTTTGCATTATGTAATCCTATATTTTGAAGAATTTGTTATCACATCAATGGCATACTATGAAAATAGCCTTAGCAACTTTAGGATACCAAACATAGCGCATTCTCCAAGGTGCGTATGAAACCGGGACCAAGAAAAAAATTTAAATGGAGTCAAAGGTATAAAATAGCTTCAGGTTTATAGTCTTGTGATTATGCTTTATGGAATAAATGATTCTCAATGTCTTACAAATGTTTCTAATTATTTAACGAAAGCAGGAGGGGACCACCTGTGGAAGACTAAAACCAGCAATGTGAGCTTAGGGAAAAAAAGCCAACAAACAGGAGTCTCATTCATTCCTTCATTCAGACAAACTGTCCCTGAGTGCTGCTGTGTTTGAGACATTCTATACTGACACCGGAGCGACCAAAGGGAATGACATATGGTACTGACCCCCAGGGAATCATGCTAGTAGGGAAAGAAACATAACATTACAACAGAAAGTAAGGAGAAGCTAGAATCATACTCAGAGTAATCTGGAAGCATAAAACTGGGGGGTCCCAACCCAGACCCTCCACAGAGAGCTTCTCGAAGAGGGGAAGATTTTCATTATATCAGAGGAACTAGTTAGAAGTTAGTTATATTTAGCAGAAAACAGTTTCTTTCTCTCTCACAATTACAGAAGTATGCATTCCAGGGTTTGTATGGTGGCGCCATAGTTAACAAAACCCAGACTCCTGATATATTATTGCTCTGTCATCCTTAGTATTTGGATTACTCTTCAAGGGAGATAGCCTTTTTATTTTCTGGAAGGCCTTAGGGGCTCCCTTCCTTCCCAGCTGTTAACCTGGCAATGAGTTTGCTCATTGGGTCTGAAATGGCTCTTTGGAAAACACTAGATCTTTACTGGATGGCAACTGCAGAGGCATGGAAAGTGAGCTCCTAATGGGAAGTTCTCTCTGGTCAGGAAGGCAGTTAGTTTCCCTGACCAGGAAGCCCACTGTTACACATTCCACTGACTCCTCCAACTTCTCCATAAAAATGTCAAGTGGTATGGAGGCAGCATCCCTCTCCTGGAACACTTTTAGCTCATGTTATTTTTGCCTGGCCAAACCATACCTCTCTTGAATGAAAGATGAAGATCCACATAGGCTCCTCTGCTTTTAAGTTCTCCATAAAGCTTACTTTACTATGTGACTATGTGTCACTAGTGATGTGTGTGTCAGTATCTCTTATATGACAATTTTCAAAGTCATTCTGTAGTCCAGGAGAATCCTACAGCACCAGCTATCATGTCTATGCTTCAAGAAAGAAAGTAAAAGGGTTCTATTAAGAAACTTTCCTGGCAGGCCTACTGATGACTGCCATTTACTTCCAGTGGCCCCTCCCAGATGTTACACAGTAAGATCAAGTTTCTGTTAGCATGGATAAAAGGGAGAGGGATATTAAGCAGGCAGCTGCAGTCTCTGACACAGACAGGTAGAGACGCAGCCAGGAAAAGGACGGGGCAGAACGTTGGCAGTGGCACACAGACACCTGAACAGACAGTGTGTGTGCATGTGCCACAGGGGTGGGGTAAGGAAAGAGGGAACATAAAGAGTTTAGACTTCCTAGAAGGTAAAGTGAGAGTTAAGGAATAGCTTAGAGGTGAGGCCAGTAGGCAGGGCAGATGGTGGAGCTCTTTGTGTGCCGCCATAGGAAGAATGGGGATTGAGTACAACTGAGGACTGAGGGGGTTTTTGGAGGGCACGGAGTCGGATTAGCACTGAATGGGGTGATAGCACCAGGAGAGAGAAATGGTCAGACAGGAGTTTTGAATAGACCACTCTGGCAACTATTTGGAAAATGGATTGGTCCAAGTGAGTTAGAGGTGATGGTAAGAAATCAGCCAATAATAGCTAGGATGAAAAAAAGGAAAAAGATTTGAAAAATGTTTAGGAGGTATAATCAGAAAAGCCTGGAGATTAGAGAGGTTACAAGGAAATCCTTGAGGAAAAACCAGAACTTCATTTGGCTAGAAGAGTAGTACCAAAAATTAAATACAGGAGATCAGGATTTAGAAAGAACATAAATTTAGACATGCTGATCTTTCAGTAATTGTGGGCTAATATTTTATTTATTTACAAGGTGTATTTTGATTATTTTCTGAAAGAAATTAGATTCTATAAATTATAATAAAGATTATTATAATAAATATAAATATGCAATAAGATAGCTACAAATACTAGAGATAAATTATAGTAAGTGAAAAAAGAACCAAGTATAATAATCCAGATTATTATAATGAGAAATCACTGAACTCAATTAAGCAGGTAGAAAAAGAAAGATTATTCAATATATGATGTTGGGGCAGGTAATTATCCATTTAGGGGGAAAGTTAATACCTACATCTAACAATATACATCAAAATAAATCCCAGATTAAAATTAAAATACAGAAGTGATACCACCAAAAAAAGTGAAGAAAAGTTAAGTAACTATATATTTGATCTCGCCATCCCGATCAAAATTCCAATGACATTTTTCAAAGTGCTGGAACAAACAATCCTAAAATTTGTATGGAATCAGAAAAGACCCCGAATCGCCAAGGAAATGTTGAAAAAGAAAAACAAAGCTGGGGCATCACGTTGCCGGATTTCAAGCTATATTACAAAGCCGTGATCACCAAGACAGCATGGTACTGGCACAAAAACAGACACGTAAACCAATGGAACAGAATAGAGAGCCCAGATATGGACCCTCAACTCTATGGTCAACTAATCTTCGACAAACCAGGAAAAAATATGCAATGGAAAAAAGACAGTCTCTTCAATAAACGGTGCTGGGAAAATTGGACAGCCACATGCAGAAGAATGAAACTCGACCATTCTCTAACACCAT